GATAGATAGATAGATAGATAGATAGATAGATAGATAGATAGGGGATTGGATTTTTAGTTTGGAATCTACTTAATATAAATGTGCTCATATAACTAAAAAAACACTGACTAAGTTAAAAACAAAAATTTATGTTTAAAGATTAAGATCAGTTAGATATTTTGAAGAATGTGGGCATCCAAACAGTTGATGGTCCCTATTGACTATAGTGTGGAAAAAACACTACGGTTCAGTGAGGACCATTAACTGTTTGGTTACCCAGATTCTTCAAAATACCCTTTTTGTGTTCAGCAGAAAAAATAAAGTCAAGGTTTGGAACAACTTGAGGGTGAATGAATAGTGAAAGAAATTTTAATTTTTGGGTGAACTGTCCTATTAAAAAGTTTTAGTTAAATCAAATATTTTTTTCCAGTGTGGTTTAGCATTCACTTACAGATTCATAAACTTACAGATAGTAAATGATATGTGCATTTTGTGGTTTTATTGCTGTTTTAACTTCATAATTAGTGTAAGTGGCTGGACCGATGTCCATGATAATAATTTTTTATTTTTGCATTTTTCAAAATTGAGAACTTACCCCTGCTGAAATGCAGGCTTCATGACTTTAAGGGTCCTAAAATATCTTAGTGACAGACAGTGAGTACAGGAATGAGCACAGGGACATCATCTGTATGAGGAGAGGTATTTAAGAGAGCCAGGAAACCAGATGATATCACTGCTGGAGGGAAAGTCCCAAAAATTCCTGTCATCCCCCAGCCAGTGGAGTGAGATTTTCGATAGCTAGCACTTCCATGTCCAATCACAGAGCGGAAGTGCTAACACATTCATTCCAGATGTTTAAATGGCCCTGTGGGATGTGGCCCAGTCTCCAGCTGACACAGAGCTTATCTCAGGTTGAGAATCACAGAGTAAAGAGAATTATAATGGAGTAAGTCTTGCTTTCAGGCTTCCTTTGATGATAGGGTTAGTGTGTATATGACCACACCAACTGATCCACAAACAATGGGGAAAAATTGAGTGTGA